TAACTGATTTAATGTTCTTATCTAGTAGACCTATCATGTATAGATCAATTTCTGTTTATTTTTCTCATTCTGAGTGGTATTTTCCTCCTTTCCATGTCTGTTAATATTTGATTGGATGCCAGGCATTGTCACTTTTACCTTGTTTGGTACTGAACTTTTTGTATTATTATGAATATTCTTGAGCTTTGTTTGGGATGCAATTAAGTTCCTTGGAAATGGCTTTATTTTATTTTATTTTTTAAAGGTATGCTTTTAGTCTGCTAGGTGGAATTAGAGTAGTTTTTAGAGCTCATTTTGTCTCACTACTAACGTGTTGCCCCTCTGAGCACTGTATTTGATGCCCCGTGCATTAGAGCTTTTCTTCTCTGGCTGGAAGGTGTACAGCCTATTGCTGACCTTGGGCGAACTGTGGACAGTGTGAGCCATGGGCAGTGGTGTGCTGGAGCTTGTGAGAGCTATTTGTTAAAATGCTAGGAAGTTTCTCAGCTGGTTTAATTCCTTTTTTTTTTTTTTTTAAGATTTTTTTTTTTTTTAAGTTATCTCTACATCCAACTTGGGGCCAAACCCAGAACACCAAGATCAAGAGTCACATGTTTCACTGACTGAGCCAGCCAGGAGCAGCCAGGAGCCCCTGAATTGGTTTAATTCTTAATAGAATTAAATTGTATAAGCTTATGATTAAATCAGTTATATTAAGAGCAAAGGTGATACCTCAAATCTTATTACCTTCTATTATATTATTATATATTATGATTTTTGTACACAGGTGGTAATTTACATCTATTGTATCTCTATGGGAGAAATACTATATAATGTTTGCTGTGGTACTGTGTATCTCTAACATAGCACTCAGTGATGGTTAATAGCTTGAAATTGTCTGTGGGTAGGAATATACATACCCATTGGTAACCCTATAAACCAGGAACTACAAAACACTGATGGCCCCTGGTTGTTATACATTTTCCAGCATACTCCTGACAATGGATATCATTCTCTCTACTCCTTATAGATGGTGTTCCAGGCCTTGGACGTGCACACTGATCAGTACTCAGCTCAAGACTTGAGGGGGATTTTTGTAGATCTTCTGATGATCTGGGAACACTAGTTACTTAGGCCTCCCCACACTACTGAGTTCATCTTTTTAACTCAGGGAGACTGTTAAACTTTGCCTGGGATCAATCCCCCTCCACTCTCTGTAGGCTGGAAACTCCCATCAGTAAGCTGGGCAGTTAAAAGCTTTGCCTCATTTGTTTCTTCTCTTTGATTGATCACTGTCCTATATTACATTGTCTGATTTCCAGTGTCTGGAAAACAAAAACGTTTTCCAGAGATTTAGTTGCTTTGGTGGCAGCATAAATCTCATTCCTGGGACGCCTGGGTGGCTCAGTGGTTGAGCATCTGCCTTCGGCTCAGGGCGTGATCCTAGAGTCCCGGGATCGAGTCCCACGTCGGGCTCCCCACATGGAGCCTGCTTCTCCCTCTGCCTGTGTCTCTGCCTCTCTCTCTCTCTCTGTGTCTCATGGATGAATAAATAAAATCTTTTAAAAAAAAATCTCATTCCTGTTACTTTGTCTTGACTAAAAGTGGAAGTCCCTTGGAAGCATTTTAGGTAGGAGAGGGACATGGGTGTGTATTTTAGATCGCTCTGTAGAATATACATTTATAAGGGAAAAGACTTAAAGTAGAAAGACTAATTACAAGACAAATGAGTTAGTTTAAGTGAATGATGAAAACCTAAGGTTGGTTTTGGTTGTTGACTGCAGAGGTGGGGTACAATATGGGAAATATGTAGGAGAAAGAATCTAGTGCAGGGTTTCTAAAAGGATGGATAAAGAGCTATTTGCATCTAATCACTTGTGGTATTTGATAAAATGAAGATTCTGTGTCCTGCCGCAAGTTCATTGAATCTGAATTTCTAAGGATGAGGCTTAGAAATTTGCATTTTATTTTTTTTAAGATTTTATTTTTTAAATCAGACATTTATTTGTTTTAGAGAGCACATGTGTGTGTGCAGTGGGGAGGGAGAGAAAGAGGAGAGAGAAAATCTCTAGACTCCCTGCTGAGTACAGAACTTGACATAGGGCTCACCTCCACAGCCTTGAGATTATGACCTGAGCTGTAAATTAAGAGCTGGATGCTTAACCGTCAAAGTTAGCCAATGCCCTTCAATATTTTATTTTTAAGTAGTCTCTACACCCAGTGTGGGGGCTTGAACCCACAACTCCAAGATCAAGAGTCACTTGCTCCACTGATTGAGCTAATCAGGCATTCCTAGAAGTTTGCATTTTAAACAGGTACTTAGGGTAATGCTTATGAACCCTAAAGCTTCAGAAGAAACAGCTTTAACTTTTTTCAAAGTATGATCCATATCTTTGGGCAGCCCCTACACTGGAATGACTTGAAGTACCTAATGAAAGTTGTAGATTTATGCATGCATATCCAGAACTACTTGAATCTGAATTTCTGGAGTGGTTGAGTTCAGGAATTCCTGAACACTAGTGTTTGAAGGCATACTAGTGTTTGAAAACCAATAAGCTAAAGTACTTTGCAGACATAATCTCTTCTGAACTCTTCAGAGTAACCCTGGGGAAATGAAGCATAAAAGAGCAAAGTGGCTTACTCAGGGTCAGACAGTGGTCTGATGATAGAGAATATTTCTTCTATCAAACCTAATGCTTCTGCTACCTTTCTGTTGACTGTGAGATAGGCTTATCTCTAAAATCTTATGAAAGCATCATAAGACACTGAAACTGTGGTTCCAAACAACTTAGGGCGCCAGGAAACTGTGCTCTTCTTTGGTTATACTTTTGCACCAAATACTCAGTTTAGCTCTCTATAGCAAGTGAGTGTAATAAGTCTTATTGTCTAGCAAAGGTGTGTTTGTCTCTGCATTATCTTAATGCTTTTTACAGCTGCCATTGAGTGTCCTTGTCTTTTTCTTTTAAAATAATTTAAAAACATGGTATAGTGCACAATTCAGTATTTTCATTTACACAGCTGAAGTGGGTACTAATGAATCTATAGTATAATTTTTGTTTTGAATTTTTCCAAGGTTCTATAAAAACTGAAAAGATTTAGTGTCTTATAATTTAGGTTGTATTTAGTTTAGACTTCAGTTTTACTTTAATAAGTTATGTAGCTTGTAGCTTATAACTTTATCAGTAGAAATGGTAATATTTTCTAGTGGGATTTTCTGTAGTCTTTTGAAGTGATTTCATATGTGCCATGAATCTTAGATCCTGTAATCTGTTTAGCACAGTAGCACCAGTGTTAGCTGCAAATAGTAGGAAAAGTAATTCTTTTCAGTCAAGATTGGTTTTGGATTTGCCTTTGCAATTCTTGAATAGTCCGTTGATTTTATTAGTATGTGAAAACAAGCGAAGCTTTATAGCAAGAAATAAATACAGAGGCCTTAGGAATAGGATTTAAATGGTTTGTTTTCCTTTTTTGTATGCTTTTAAAAGACAAAATAGCTAAGTTTTTTAAATTTCTAGAAGTTACTATAGTTAAATAAAAAATTACTGTAGCTGTCACAAATCAAATTAGTCTATCTGCTCCATTTGAAATGTATAGTGAAGGAAACAAAGAATGAAATTTAGAGAATATAAGAATTTTGGCTACTTTAATTTGCTTGTTACAAGAGAATTTATAGCAACTTCTAAATTTAGAAATACTTAAGGTGTTTGTGTTATCGCTAATGCTTAGTGTTAAGTCTTATGGCATTGTTTAACATTTGTAAAACCAATGAATAGACTTAAGTGCTTGATGGTAGAGATCAGTGTTTCTTAAACACTATTTACTCTTTTTTTTTAATCGAAACATAATTGACATAACATTATATTAGTTTCTACTCTATTAATAATAAAACTTTTCACTAGTGAGATCTGGCAGGTTGACAACCCCAGTATCAAATTTTATACACAAACAGGTGTAAGGCAGTCAATATTCTTTTTACCTTCCTTCTTTCCTTCCTTCATTTCTTTCAAGAGACAGAGTGGAAGTAGGGGGAGAGGAGAAGAATCCCAAGCAGGCTCCATGCCCAGCTTGAAGCCCTGTTTGGGACTTGATCTCATGACTCTAAGGTCATGACCCGAGCCAAAATCAAGAGTTGGACACCTAACCAGCTGAGCCACCCAGGCGGTCTGGCTATCTGCATTTTCTGTGTAGATTTTTGCCTTTTCTTTTTATTATGTAGGAATTTGGAATGGCATGCCATGATAAATCATTTTAAAATGCCATTCGTAGCTTTCTGTGATACAGACGAATGAGGTTTTTTGTAGCTCATGGTTTTCTAGTAAGTTGGTTGAAATGACTTAAAAAGTTTTAGATCATGTGCTTTTTGTCATGATATTAAGCACATTGATGTTTCTCAGAGTTGTAATTTATAACCACATCATGTTTTTTCACCTTACTTTTAGGGAACATTTGGATAACTATCTCTTGATTTATTACATCACATTTATTTTCTATTTACTTCCAAAATAATATTCACAAATTATTCTAGAGGGATAATCTAAACAAGACAAAATCATTACTTTAAAAGACCTGGCATATTTTAAAGTCACATTTAAGGAGAAAGTTGTGATCTGTTTTACTGCATTTTTAACCATTATAGATTTATTCCCTAGTGTTGTAAAACACACACAAAATACTTTTCTATTAATGCATGAGTAATTATAGGCTTCTGGAAAATGAGTTATATCTACATTGGTAGTCAGAAAACGTATCTAAGGAGCTGTCAAATTTGTAAGAATCTTAATTTAGAATTAAACATTAAAATACTTTATGTGGATACTCTGAGAAGCATTTGTAAGAGTGTTAGCAAATTATCTTAGTCTATTGAAGATTGCACGTATTTTGCAGCCTAATATAAGGAATTATTTGTACAGTTTAGTAGAAAATACAGTGTGTTATCGAAGTGTTTAGAAATAGCACTTTTGTCCACAAGTCTGTAAACAGTAACACATCTGTAGTGACTATATTGTGGTTTCCCTTCACAGATATCAAGTTGTGCTAGTACATCCATATAAATAATTAATACCTGAAGTCTCAATGTAACATGGACATTAACAGTGATGACAGATAAATACAGACGCTTGGGAATCAAATACTAGGCGAAAAACACTTTTAAAAAGGTAAGAAAAATGTAATCTTAATTAAGGCCAAGCGGGCTTTAGTTAGTAGAAGTAATTGACTAAAGTTTCTTTTTCAGTGTATCAGGCTTTTTAAGAAACATCTGGGTGATCCTGTCTTTCTTAATACTGGTAGAACTCAGCTGTAAGTATCAGTTCTTCTGTGAAGATGACAGTTGCAGATAGACTTGCCTTGTAAATATCATAATGAGTGGGGTAAACCCAATCCACAATGCGTAGAAGGTGGACTGGAACTGGAATTAAGTGCTAGAATGGAATGTCCATGTGTACTCAGACATATCTTAAACTATGGATCCTCTGCCTCTGATGTTTGCCACTCCCACCACACACTGTGGAATGTAATGTTTTGCCATGAAAGGCTTTCAAGGTTGGGTATAGAGGAGTTGGCACTTGTTGGAGTTTTTGTTGTAAGAGGAGTGAATTTTCAAGTTAAGGGTTACTTTTTATAGGATCATGTTTTCACTGTGCACACTCCTTATGTTAATTTAGAATATTTCTTTATGTATTAAATGATTTTATTTAGACAATTTTCCTACCTTGTGGTTTTCAAGAGTTTACAGGCCATATTTGGGAGAGGCTGCATCTGTAGATACTAGATATTAGTACTGATCTCCTAGCCGACTAAAACTGTAATCTGTTTACTTTTACTAGGCAGTAACTCTAGTTTATAAGGTTTGTTAACTGTATCATTTTTAAAATTGTAATCCTTCACTGTGACAATAGTGTCACTTTTAAAATACCTTCTTTCATTTTTATAGTAAAGTGACAATATGCATCATATAAACACATCACTCGTCTTTTTCTGGTGTTCCTCCTTGTTTCCAAATGGGCAGTCATAATAACCGTTTAGCCAGATTCTCTGAAAAGGATATCATAATGCATTGTTATAAAATAAAACTCTTAATTAACCAGACTGTCCAAGAAATGGGAGTATAATTAGATTAATTAAAATACCTGGCCAACTGAGTCTTAAAGCTAAAAATCCTTATTCCTTTTGTCCTAATTGGAAATCCATACACCAAAAATAATAGAAATTTCTCTTTGTAATAAAATCTTAAGGCTAGTAGTCTTCAAGGTTATCATATAGATATTTGAAGACTTAGTTGATTCTTTGGTGTGCATAACTTAAATTATTTTTATTGGTCAGTCCCTAGTTTTGAATACTTGAAGGCCAAAGTTTGGGTAGGGCTCTAGAATATAAGAGTAAGAGATAATAAATTCTATATGAGAAATTTTATTAAAGGCAGTCTTTGGGTCACCGCAAAAGAATATTGCCCACAGACTCTAGAGAAGAATGGAGTGACATTTGGATGCAAACTAATAATGAGTTGTTATGAGGATTCAGTATATTTCAAGCTCTTTTTGCTTTGTTTTTGTTGGTTTTTAAAAATCTGTTTCCAGTTTCTTGGTATCTCTGAGGCTACAGAGTTGCTAAGAAATATCAAAGATGTTACTATGAATAGATATTCTGTTATCTGCTGTTTCCTCTTATAGAAGGGGTAAGTCTATTAGCATAAGTTAATTTGTTTCTTTAATTTTTTTTATTATTTTATTTTAAAGAAAGGAATTTTGGGAGGTTCTAGTATTCTCCGTGGCTGAAGCTGAGAGTCTGAAACCCTGATGCTTAAGCTCTATTCTAGATCATAGCTCCAACTCCTTCAGGATATAAGGAAAAGAGATAATATTTCCACAATGATAGATCTTTGGTTGTACAGGTAAGTTATTTAGTTTTGCAGTAGTGAAGACAACTGTAGTTTGATATTTTTTGTGGGTGGGGGGTGACTTGTATTTATATTCTTTATTCTGCATGGTATATTGTGCAGTCTGCCTGACAATTCATATGAGTATGGAGCAATAGGGAATGGGTTAGTGATGATATATTTTCCCACTCTTCCCAACAGGGGTATAAATGAAGTGATTAATGATTAAGTATGTTGGAATCTCTAGAGCATTATACCTATCTTTGACATTTTAGGTATTTTTGATTGAAGGGGGCATTATGAAATTCCTCGACTTTTGTTTCTCCTCAGTTTTTTTTTTTTAAGTATGTATTCATTCAGCTTTCTGTCTTTGTATCTATGTTAATCTATCATATATCTGTTTCTCTTAATGGGGAAGAAAGAAGAGATCCCTTTAAGGCAGTATGTATTAGAATTTAGCGTCAAAACACAAATATTAAGAATTGCATAAGTGGGTCCCCATGTTTCACTCTCCTACTTTTAGCCTTATAGTGGTAATTGCTCAACTGAGGAAATTTGTCTTAAAAGGATTGTGTGACAAGGATAGTCTGAACCGTTACTAAGCAACTCATGTTTATGTTCTAGACAGAAGAAACATATTGGTAACACTTTCAGTTGCTCTTGCTCTGTTTTTGCCTTTTACTTTGGTTTGATATGGTATCATGACCAGTTTCCTAAAAATTGTTCAATTAATAAAACTAAATATTATGATAATAAATATCAACTAGAATGTTGATGTTAATGGAGGATTGCCAGTCTCTCAATTCCCAAAATAAACCATACTACTTTGGTAATTATAGTGGAGCAAAAAGTTATAGGCATTATCTTTGAAAAATCTTTCTGATTTTTGAGGTGATAGCTAAGAGTAGTTATTCATTAGATGGACCATTTTAGTTTAATGCTTATTATTCTTTTTTAGTTCATATTGATGTAGTTCTACAGATGTGATCACAAAGGCTGGATATTTATGATCTGAAATACAGCTGATAGTGTTTCAGAATCCTAGAGTTAGATTTGAGGTAAAAGTAGATTCAGATTTGGGGGAAGGTAGTTCAACAGCAAATAAATGGGTGAGATGTTAGACTTACAGGTGGTATGTGGGGCTTAATATGAATAGAAAGGCTGAAATTTGGTTGACGGTCCTTGATATACTCTCCAATAGGATGAAGCTTATGAGGGTGAGGAAGAAAGAAAGGGAATCTATTTAATTCTAGTGATCGATCATATTCTCTTCTGTTCTAGGAAGTGCCATATTCATTAGTTGGTAGATAACATATAGGAAAAACTTCATTCTAGTTTCTAGACTGCATTTTGCCATATGAATATGTTAACAGTTTCCCTTAATTTTGAAACTAGAATGATTGCATTTCTAGTTCTAGTTGGGTGCTGGCTAAGGTTTTCACCATATGCCTCCTATTTGGTTAACTAACAAGAGTATTTTCTGAGGTAGTTTGTAAATAAGTTCCTTTCTGTTCCCTTAGTAGTTTAATTTTTGGCAGGAATATAATTTTGTGCTCTTCACTGAATTTCTTTAGTCATTGTATTATGCAGCTAAAATGAGGAAATCTACTTTAGTCTGTAATGCTTTGCTAAACATGGCAAAACAATTTTGAGACTTGGTTGAGATAATCCAGGACGGTTTTAGTCCCTTTTGGTAATTGAAGTTTGTGTTCAGTTTATTAGATAACTACAGAAAGTATGTGCCTTTACTATTTAAAATAGAGAAGATGAAGAAAAAGGTTAGAACAGAAGAAAAAAATCAGAGGGAAGAGTGTTCAAATTTCATTTAATTTTCAGAATTTTTAATAATTTATTACCTTAGGTACATGCAATATGTTAATGTCAGGCAAGAGATTGGGTCCTCCATATGGTATTTCTTTAGCCAAAGTAATCATGGCTTTATTTATACATTTTTATTACTAGAGTCAAATAAGGAATTAAAGAATATATGATAAATGGGTCTAATTTAGTTTGAACCTGATGAAAATCACCTGGGAATTGGATTAATTGGTAGGTCTGGGGCAGGGCCTGATAATTCCGCATTTCCAGCAGGCTTCCAAGAGATGCCATGATGCTGGTTCTCAGGACACAGTTGTGAGAGTTTGAGGTACCAGAAGCGTCCTTGTATAAAACAGGTTCACTTTAAATGTGGTGCAATAGCATAGGATTTGAGAACTGTAACTAAAACAGACTTTATTGTGGTTGATGAATGGAATAAAAGTGCTTTTTAGGAATCAGAAGAAAAAAAGATATTTCATCTTTCATAGTAATCTGTTTTGATCACTGGTATAGTGAAGAAATAGGCCCTTATTATAGATGGTGTTTTATAAGTATATATTATATATACATATATAATCTTAGTACTATGTAATATATATGTTCCTTATAAGTAACTCTGAGTAATATTAAGGATAGGTTTATTTTATTAATAATGACAAGGCAGAGATTTTTGCTTTCATTTAGATTGATATGGAAAGAAAAGAAGAGCTAGGAATGTCTGTTACTGGAGTTATTTGAGGTTTATATGCCCTTAATTGGCATCACATTTTAAAAAATAAAGATTAAGAGATTCTTAATAAAAATTAAATTACATTTCCCTTGTGTATTTACATAGGTAATTAATAGTTATCAGTAACCTTCAAATTTGAGAGCTCCAGATCTGGGTATTTGAAATAAATAAATTGGCTTTCATATTATTTAGTTTGTGCTTTGTTGAAACATCATTTGAAATTTAACTGAAATTTTTGGTAATTAAAAGTGGATATTTATGGGACATTCAGTATTTATTATCTGTGATTTAAAATAGATTGTAATCTTCATGACAGGATTTAAGCAAAAGAGAATTGCATGTCATGTCCCTCTAATGAACCCAAAATAGTAAAAGTTTACTGTGTGAAATGTATTTCTAAGTTCTGATTGGTGTCCTATAGTTCTTGTTCATGAGATGGCTATAGAATTCTATACAACAAATTATCATACTCTGATCCCAGGGCTTGTTTTGTCAGTCTTTTAAGATCTTCAAAAATTGTTAATTAAAAATTGAAAAGTATGCCTCACTCTGAAATAAAACTAAATCAACTTATATATGTTTTAGGAAACTTAAATTCATTTGTCAACAAGCAGAAACAGGAAGACAATTCCCTTTAATTTTTTTTTCTTGTATGTGGTAACATATTGCTGTTGCTTCTGTAGTTCTTCATAGCCTTTCTATTGTTAGACACTTTTGGTTGAGGCAAAGGAGAGATGATACTTGATTTGCAGGGGGAGGGTTAGAATGGCATTTGAAGGGTAGGAGAAGGAGACTATGGGAAGCATGACCAAAGGGGGGTGGGAGGGTGCTCTGAAACTACCTACTACAGCCATCGGCCTCTTTCTCTATCCATCCTATACCCCATTTGGAAGTTAAGCAGTGAAATGGAAAATTACCTTGTGAAAGCTGAACAGAAGAGGAGCAGAAGAATGGATGCTTGAAATGTTAATAGCTCCTTTATTCTGCTTTATGAGAGAACCTTTGGAAAAAAATAACCACTCATAGTTTATCCAGATGGATCAGTCAGGGCGTTTTTCAATTTCCCTTGCATTTCTGTCTTAGAAACACCAAACATCTACATCAGAAAACCAGCTCATCTCCCAAAATGCATTAAAACTGTGGCTTATACATATATACAGGAGTTCAAAGGAGAGGATGGGGTTATTTATGTGATCCTGATTTCTTAGATGTACTATTTGCTTTAGGGACTGCTTTTCCTTTTTCTTCTGTCCTCTTCAGCATACTTGCTTTCACTTGCTATAATTTATAGCTCTACTTCTAGAGACTAGGGAGATTTGGCTTTGCTCTCTGTTTTGCTTTTAGCTATTGTAAGCCAAGGTTGTGAAATCTGTTCATCTGCTTGATTAGAAAAATCCTACCACAACTGAAATATTTCGGATGTCACATAGTTTGTTATCGAAGGATTTGATCTAAAACTCATTTTATTAAAAGTGAATTAAGAAGAGCAGAGCCTACCACTTTACCTCCCAGGAATGTTTTGAGAAAACATAAGAAATGATTGGGATAGTTTTTCTGATAGCTGCTATATAAATTCAAGGGTATTATTTTAATAACCAAGATGAAATCCTGTCTTTCAGGGAAATCTTTTCTGGGCCTTCTGTGCCTGTGGTCTGAATGGCAGATACACAGCAAGGCAAGTTAAAGGCATGGTCTCTAGAGCCCTGCCCTGCCACTTAAGTGTGTGGCTTTGGACAGATTACTTAAATGATACACATACTCACCCTTTTCATTTGTAAAGTATGGATGATAATAGCACCTTTCTTAATTGTTGTGACTTAAGTGAGTTAATGTACGTAAAGCATATAGGACAATTCCTGGAATGTATTAAGTGCCATATAATTGTTAGCTATTACTGGTATCATTTTTGGAACTGTTAATAAAATAAATTATATCACTTTATTAATATAGGCTATACTTGGATTTTAAAGTTAATAGCTTTATGCTTTTGTTTTAGGTGTATTAACTATTACCTTTTCTCATTATTTTGTTTACATTTTTGAAGGTTTCCCAATGAGTGGATCATGATGACCGTATTGTAGGGACTTGCCATAGTATGGCTGCTTCCCGATCTACTCGTGTTACAAGATCAACAGTGGGGTTAAACGGCTTGGATGAATCTTTTTGTGGTAGAACTTTAAGGAATCGTAGCATTGCTCACCCTGAAGAAATCTCTTCTCATTCTCAAGTACGATCAAGATCACCAAAGAAGAGACCAGAGCCTGTGCAGATTCAGAAAGGAAATAATAATGGAAGAACTACTGATTTAAAACAGCAAAATACTCGAGAATCATGGGTAAGCCCTAGGAAAAGAGGACTTTCTTCTTCAGAAAAAGATAACGTAGAAAGGCAGGCTGTAGAAAATTGTGAGAGAAGGCAAACAGAACCTGTTTCACCAGTTTTAAAAAGAATTAAGCGTTGCCTTAGATCTGAAGCACCAAACAGTTCAGAAGAAGATTCACCTATAAAATCAGACAAGGAGTCAGTAGAACAGAGGAATACAGTAGTGGACAATGATGCAGATTTTCAAGGGACTAAACGAGCTTGTCGATGTCTTATACTGGATGATTGTGAGAAAAGGGAAATTAAAAAGGTGAATGTCAGTGAGGAAGGGCCACTTAATTCTGCAGTAGTTGAAGAAATCACAGGCTATTTGGCTGTCAATGGTGTTGATGACAGTGATTCAGCTGTTATAAACTGTGATGACTGTCAGCCTGATGGGAACACTAAACAAAATAGCACTGGTTCATATGTGTTGCAGGAAAAGTCAGTAGCTGAAAATGGGGATTCGGATACCCACACTTCAATGTTCCTTGATAGTAGGAAGGAGGACAGTTATATAGACCATAACGTGCCTTGCACCAATTCAGAAGTGCAGGTCAAGTTGGAGGACCACAAAGCAGTAACTGCCTGCCTGCCTGTGGAACATGTTAATCAGCTGACTACTGAGCCAGCTACAGGCCCCTTTTCTGAAATTCAGTCATCCTTAAGGGATTCTGAGGAGGAAGTAGATGTGGTGGGAGATAGCAGTGCCTCAAAAGAGCAGTGTAATGAAAACACCAATAACGCCCTGGACACAAGTCTTGAGAGTATGCCAGTCTCTGGAGAACCAGAATCATCATCTGTTCTAGACTGTGTTTCAGCTCAAATGATGTCTTTATCAGAACCTCAAGAACATCGATATACTCTGAGAACGTCACCACGAAGGGCGGCCCCCACCAGAGGTAGTCCCACTAAAAGCAGTTCTCCTTGCAGAGAAAATGGACAATTTGAGGAGAATAATCTTAGTCCCAATGAAACAAATGCAACTGTTAGTGATAACATAAGTGAATCTCCCACAAATCCTGATGAGATTTCTCAGAATGAAAAAGGAATATTTTGTGACTCTGAAAATTATGGGAGTGAAGGACTAAGTAAGCCACCCTCAGAGGCAAGACTTAATATTGGACATTTGCCATCTGCCAAAGAGAGTGCCAATCCGCACAATACAGAAGAAGAAGATGATGATCCTGATGTTTATTACTTTGAATCAGATCATGTGGCACTGAAACACAACAAAGAGTATGTGTAAATATGGTAACCATGAATTCTGCTTTGTTTATTATTCCCCACGCTTTCAGTATCTATTCATAAATGTTTGTTCATAGCATTTTTATTATAGCTAAAATTAATGCTTTAGCTGAAATTTTAGGTTTAATGTAATGGTTATCTCAACTCTTAAACTCCAAAAAAAGAAAGACTTTAAAATTCAACTAATACTCTTCTCAATGGCAGTATGGTTTTCTAGTTTTGATATTTCACACATCTCAATAAGAAAAGACATGTGGAAACATGGTTGATATTTTTGTTTACTAATGTTTTATACCATTTCAGTTAATTTGTAAAATGGAAACATCTTTAGTTATAATACATTTTGATTTATAGTTGTGGAGCTTTATCTTGAAGTATCTATGCCTTCCAGACAGTATAGAACAATTAATGAGTGCTTAGACTTACAGATAAGGCAAATCCTGCAGGCTATAAATCTACTTTTATCTTAGTTACTTCTATCTAATTTCCAATGAAAACTTTTGATTTAAAAAAATGTACTTTATGCATTATCTTTGACTTGTGATTTGCAGAGGTAGATATTACTGCTAATATTGTGATGGGTAATTGTATATTATAATTAGCATTAATTAGAAAATTAGTCTGTTGTATAGTTTACATAAAGCATTTGAGACAACTTTCTCCTGATTCTGAATTATAAGAGAGTCTCTCTTAAAATACGATCATTTCTTAACCTTTGTAATGAAGGCACTTTCTAAAATAAAGAATTGAGTGTCCAAGTTTATCACAATTTTGCTTAGATTTGCTTTAAAGTATTCTGAGTAGTAACACAAATGAATTGGAGTTAACTCTGAATAATCTTGAAAGGAATGTTAATGAACGGTGAACAGTGCTTATAAATACCATGATCAACAACAGTAAAGGACATATATAAGTTAATCACCTTTACTCCTACAAAGTAAGCTTTTGAATTACTAGCACAGATTTTATAGGCTGTGTAAAAACACTGATTTGAGGAAACTTTGTGATGTTCTTATGGTGACAATTGCCAGATTGTGGAATGTATCAGATCAAAGTATCAAATACTTGTGGACTGTAATCATTTTTTGCCATATATTACAGATAGTTCACATTTGTATATGATAATATGGAGGCCTTTTAGCATATATTTCTTTTCTGAAAATTTTCCTTTTTTTTTTATAAGTAGTATTTTAATGTTTAGTTTAGTAGAAGTCCTTTTATGGGAGCATTTTATTCATTATTTTGTAGAATGGTTAGCATTTTTGTGTGTTTGAAATATTTGAAGTCCAATTTGAGGTAGAAAACTCAAGAAGTGAGTAAGTGAAGCTTTTTTCAATTTCAGATAGAGTTCTTATCATTAGTATTATGCATCAGTTTTTAAAAACAGTTGTTTATCTGCAGGCATAGGAAGCAGAGTATTATGTAATAGAAAAGCCCAAGAACTCAAGAAGTGTGCATTTTTATAAAATGATACTCATTATTTCTCTTCCTTTTTATTGTTTCTTTGGCAAAGAGATTCTCTCTTAAGGCTTAGCTGGTATGTTGATGGAAAATATTTTTCTATTCATTATGTTACTTTTTTTGTTAGAGCTCTCGGTGATAATTCTCAAGGATGATAAACCCACAAAACAATTGTCTAAAGACAGCGGCCATAACATTTAAAGAGTGATGTTTTATATCCCTAAGCCTTTGAGAATGAGAGCTATTAGGTTCCTCAGGATATACAAAGTCCTTTGGAATTTGGATAGTAGTTGCTTTTTTTAGGATAGTATTTTCAAATTAATGTCTCATTTGGTGACTTTGGGCAAAAGAAATCTCTCCTTGCTTTGAAGGTAATACCTTTTGACACTTCCACTTTTAACTTTTTATCCCCCAAAGGAAGCATATTGGGAGGAGGGAGATGGGGAGTGAGAGCATCTTCGTTAGAGATAATTTAAAGAAAATTGAGAGAAGATGCTTGATCAAGTTAGATGTAATCTCTTTTCAGTAAAGTTCTTATTCCTTTGCTTTTTGTTTAGAGCCAAGAGATGGTTGGATATAATGTTGGCTTTTTTTTACCCAAATTGTCATTGCAAAAAATAGCATCCTGATACTTGTCTTTGAAGTCTCAAGTTATTTTCTGGCTGTTTGAAAATGCACTTGGGGTAAAGAAAAAAAAAGATAAATGGGTAGTTGGAATGTTATTCTCCTGTACACACAGATGTACACATGTACCCCATCAAGTATATTTTTTTCTTTCTTATTCACTTCATGCTAGTAAATTTCTCCAGATAATTGTGAAACTGGGAATTGGGCATTACCCAGATTACACATGACTATCTTTACCAGTAGGGAATGAGTAGAGTACGTCCTGATGGCCAGATTAAAAAATATGTTACTGATAGAAAACACTGAATATGGCATAGTTCTTTGTCCAGGGACAGGAGAACATAGCTCTTTATTCCAGTTGCAGCTCTTTTCTAAACTAACATTATTTAATTAGCAGCTGTATATCCTACCATTTAGCCGATAATTTATCTGTCTTGTTTGCAGGGGTGTTACATATAGGGTCATCTAATGACTTGTAAATGTTTGAAAAGATACTATGCTATAGAAACCTAGCCTTAGTTCTGTTTCATGGTAATTAACCATAGGCCAGAGAAATGAATTTGTGCGCATTCGGGATACTTAACCCTGTTTCCTCTCTAGATGCCATCCCTCTTATTCACATAAACCCACAGTGTGCTTTTATGTATGTATTTTTCCAAATGGAGAACTCTCCTAGGTACAGGGGAGACTGAAGTTTTTTTTTTTTTTCTGGCAAGATTCCAGGTGTGGATTATTTCACTAGATGTGATTTCTCAAAGAGTAGTGAGTGGGGAATCAGAAGAAGTATATTTTATTTCAAAACTCTGGTCTTTAAGATGAAAGATTCTATTAAAGTGGTAGATAATACCTAATGACTCCTTTTTTGGCCTAAATAGCCAGACTGAGATCACGTACTTAACATTTGCCTTTCTCTTTGGGAATTGACCTTTTGTGGATTTTGAATGGGAAGCATCGAATCAGATCTCTAGATTTGAAGTTCTGGCTCTAGGGAGAGCAGGTATGGAAGTTTTTAGGTCCTGGGTTTGTTTGTTTGTTTTATTTATTTATTTATTTATTTATTTATTTATTTATTTATTTATTTATTTATTTTTAAAAGATTTTATTTATTCATTCATGAGAGACACAGAGAGGCAGAGACATAGGCAGAGGGAGAAGCAGGCTCCATGTAGGGAGCTCAGTGTGGGACTCGATCCCAGGACTCCGCCATCACACCCTGGGCCCAAGGCAGATGCTCAACTGCTGACTTACCCAGGAGTCCCTGATCCTGGGTTTTAATATTCGGAGCTTTTTTCCCAATTTACAGGGCAATGACTGGAAAATAGATACTCAAAAAGAAAATGTGATTTGATCAATCTTCTCTGAATTCTCATTGTATGACTACTAAGTAAATTATTTGAAGGGACTTGGATAACTTCATTTAAAGATCTTGTAACTTCATGAACAAGCAGAGGATGAAAAGTCGGATTAAGACTTTTTGGATTCTTGAGTTCTGATGGGTTAACTCATTGATAAGATCATTAATGTTTATACCAAATTATCAAGTTTCTAGATAATGAAGTATAAGAATAAGCTGGTTGCTTATCAAAGAGTATTGCTCATGTAGTCTCTAGGTAAGAAGTTTTTAAGCCATATTAAAGGATATTTATAGGAAGTGTATTTTTAAACTTGGTTCTCTGAAAATAATGTACTTTAAATAATTTATGATACATTCTTTTACACTATGCTTATGTGAATCATTTGATATCTTCATCAGTTTCAGAGGCTACATAGAGAAAATCCTCATCAGGTCTTGTAGATTCACTTCCCAGGAGACTACTTTCATTGTTTAAGTTTCTTTCAAGGGACCAGAATACTCCAAGACTAGAGATGGATTTTGCTTAGAAAGTAATAGAGGAGTCATCCTGTCCTAGATAAAATAATGTTACATTTGTACTGTGCTTCATAAGGTGCAAAGTGATTTCCTCTAGTTTCTCATTTGACACTCCCTATAATTCAGAAGTAGCATAGGTGGTGGTACACAGTCCTCATTTCCTAACTCATAATTAATGAATTTTTTGAATTCATTAATGTTATTTATTGAAAGTACGATGAACTACTGGTAGATATAGGATTAGAACTCCCATATTCTAACTCCTAGTCTGAATTACTCCTGGTTATCTCATCCAATAAAGACTTATTCCATGGATTTTCAGGTTTCTAGGTTTAAAACTCATAAGGAGCAGATACTAGTTACTCAGTTTTCAAAATTCTTTAGTCCGAGTTTAAGCTCTGTAATTTTAATTATGATTATCTGGTTTTATCTGTCAGAGAATCCGCATTATAGGTAAGTAACCTGTTTATTGAATGAAATGCTTTCATGTTCATCGTTTTTAAAGAACATTCTATTAGTGTGTCTGTGAAGAATAATTGCCCTGTACGAATGGAGGATATAAAACTATGGCTACAGCTTGGCTTTAAATAGATAATTTGGATAATTTGCAAAAAATACTTTGGGGGATGTTTACAATGAATTGAATTAAAGTCAGAGGTTATTAGGGAAAACTCATGCATGGTGTACTTTCTCAACTAATTGGAAAAGACCATGGAATATAACAGCCAGATTGGCCCTAGTAGTTTGGCACAAATTTTAATGAGAGGAGGGAAATAACTGTCCTTAGTATGAAGTTTTTGGTTGTAAGAGGAGTGTGCCATTGACTAATCAAAATAATCAGTGCACAGTGAACTCTTGGTTTTTTCCTTTGAATGTCCCCATCTTTTATTTCAAGTGATGTGAATAGTTCCTAAAAGTAGTTCTCTATTGTAATCCCAGTATATTTATACCCAAGTATAATTTAACTTTTTCTTCTGCATTTAGAGTCGTTTTTGCAAACAGAGGTTATGTAGTGAAATTTTTCTGCCATCAC